GTGTGTGTGTGTGTGATTATGGGGTAGAGGGGGGCAAACAAAAAAAAAAAAAACAGCCTCTGACGAACAGGGAGGCATAGAGTGCCTGCTGAAGTTTCCCTTCTCCAGAATCGCTGCCCCCCTCGGTCAGGGCGGTGTTTAAGTGACCCTGACGGCGCACTTCGCATTGAGCTGCGCCTGAATGGTCTCTGAGCGCAGGTTCAGGTGAGCAGTGTGAGCACCACTTTACTGCGCCCCTGCAGAGAGCTCCCAGCCACATTTATTTGCTACCAGACCATTTACAACACGTGCCCTTAATGTGTTTAGAGGAAATCCATGCAGTCTACTTTACACCAAGAATATTACAGTTGTGCAATAAAAAAGAAACTCGTGCTGTAACACAATTTTCTTGGTCCTTGTATTTCATTTGAAGGATAGAGACCCTTGCAAAGGGGTATTCAGATGAGAAATTAAAGCCTGAAATATATGGGTGCAACGATACAGAAAATTCACAATTCGGTTCGGTTCGATACTTTAGTCTCACCATTCGATATTTTTTTCAATAAAAAAGAGAAATTTCCATGCCCCTTTTAACTTGTAATTTATTTTAATTAATTATGAACATTTGTTTAACCTCAAAAGTACAGATTTTAAATTAAATGTTACTGAAACAACAAGTTTCTCAGTGAATCAGCGCTCAACAATGCAGCCTAGGTGTAGTGGAACACAAATCCACTGATCCTTTAACACAGAGCATCTTCAGAAGACAAGTTGACAAAGTAAAATTTAAAAATCTGTATTATTCAATACAAAGGTGTATTGAACCTAAAGCACTGTTCGATATTGTTGCACCCCTAATATATATATATATATATATATATATATATATAAATGTATATAGTCAGACATACATTTTTACAGACATACATTTTTAATAAGCTCATCGAATATTTCAGTATTTCAACCAATAATAGTTCATGTTGTGAGTCTTCGCTTCATCAAGGCCCTGCACTTTAACCTTTTAGAGAAATCATGATGACTTGCAGAAATTTTATTATGAAAAATTTGCTCATATAGCCTTTATATTTGATCTAATTGTTAGAATTACAGTATATACATCCAAAAGAGACATTGTTATTCAATATTTAGCGTAGATATATTCAGTTTCTTCAATACTTTCATAAGTTTGGTGAAAATCCAGGAAAATTATGGTTTAACGGGACATTCATTGCAGTCAAGCAAGTGACTAATCTTGAATGGTCATTTATCAGTGCTTATGACAAATGTTAAAGCATTCTAAGAGTGATATTTTGGCAGATAAGGTACTAGCTATTAATAACTATTTAACAAACATCATTTAAAAATAACCAGAATATCCCTATAAATGACATCCACTTGCAAACTGGCCCCAGTCAGATTAAATTCTTACCTAAAGAAAACCTCTCCGTGTTTCAAAACTAATAATGATCTGAAGGTTAGTATTGCCACTAACAACTCCACATAATTCTAAAACATTCAAACTTATTTAAATMCATAAATTAACCACAACTAGCTGAACACATTACTATTTTTCTCATGTCTCTTTTATTGTGAAATTAAGTCTTGAAAAGTCACATACTGGACTGCATCTCAAGTCATTCTTCAACATGAAAGTGTGATTTGACATTTGGGCAACAAATAGCCTGCATTACTGCTGTTTCAGTTAGTTCAACATATGGAAACAATTTCACAGTTCAACAATATTTTTTTCATGGAAAAGGTTTATGAAAATGATCAAATTTATACTTGATTCAATACAGTTCAAACACTGCAGCCTTGTATTTGATTGCACTACAGTAAAACAAAACTCTTGCTCTATTATGATTGCCGCTCCAAGTCTGTCAGCCTGTAGTGTATACAGTCATAAACTACAATCAAAAGCTCAAT